AGGCGACATAGGATTGTCAAATAGATACCATAGGTGTCTCTATTAAAAATCTTGTTGTCTGATGTTCCACGCTTCACAAAACTGACTCTAATGGTGAATAGATTTAAGTGTTTATTACAGTATTTGTTATTAATTACAAATGATGAGAGTCAATGTGTTTAAATAGACATTTGACAAGTAACAGCCCATCAAGTATTACACTATTTGGTCCTGTATACTGTCAGGACAATGCAGGTAAGAATACACTGTGAGTATGAGAGCATTCATATATTAAGGCTGAATAAATTATTTTCACTTCTGGTGACACGTAGCGGCATGGAAGGCAGGGATTTTTGTTTGTTTGAACATTAGTAAGTATTTATGGCTTTGGGACACATAGAAACTGGTGTTTTATGTGACTGTGAAGGTGTTTTCAGGCCTAGTACAATAGCAGCACTTGATTCCTTATCGGGTTGAACAGATATTTTATGTTCCTGCATGCACTAATAAAACATGTCAGTTACAGTCAACAGTGTAGTCTAAACACCTGGTGAAAGATATGAAAGTAACAGTACAATGAACTAGTAATTCTGTGTTCTACAGCTTGTACTTCCAGGGTATTTGTGACAGCTAAAGATCTACTGCCAGGAGGCTGAGCGGTATCATGTGATTGATGCTGCAAGTCACTACAGTTTAAAGAGGATCACCTATTGTTAACTTTCTTTTTTTTCTTCCTACCCTCAGCAACTTCATACGGTCGTGGGACCTACTTTGCTGTAAAAGCCAGCTACTCAGCCAAAACCACCTACTCCAAGCCAGCTGCTGATGGTTCTCAGTTAATGTTTGTCGCCCGAGTCCTCACAGGCGTCTACACTCTGGGCCAAAAGGATATGATGGTGCCTCCACCTCGAGACCCCCAGCAGCCTTATGACCGCTATGACAGTGTGGTAAACAGAATGTATAAACCCAGCATGTATGTTGTGTTTCATGACAACCAAGCGTACCCTGACTACCTCATCACATTCAAGGGAGAGTAAAGGAAAAGTCAATCTGATTCCAGCTTTACCATAGGTGCCAAATCGCTCAATGAGTTTACAGCTGCTGAAAATAGGGTCAAACCCAACACAAGCGCAATGGATGCGAATCCATAGGTATTTCCTGGTTCCCACTGTTATCAGTCCCTTTAATGTTAACGGTAAATTTAAAAATGTTTAACTGTGGTAGAAAACATGCAATTAGAGCAGAAAAGAAAGCCTCTCTGCAACAGGTCAGGCAGCCTAGGAAGGATCATAATACGACATTTGAGTGCAATAACGAGATTAATAATGCTTTTCCTTTCACACAGGATGATAATACTCTAATTCATTTCAAGATCTGTTGGGTCAATTGAGTATGTTTTTACAGCTGTTGGCAGAAGTAATTCATATACTCAACCTATAGGCGCTTTAAAAAGGACATGTTCCACTTTATGGGCCTATGATGCTTTGGATGTGTCTTTCTGCAAAGATGGACATAAATCTCAAGTGATTGTTATTTAATGTACTTAAATTTATGGGATGATGTCTCTATATATATAAAGGGGTGGTTTTAGACACAAAAACTTAAATGTTTTTTAGCCTCATCTTGTCAATCATGGGTGGGCCTTTAAACATAAGATTAGCTTTCCCCCATATATCAAAAAGGCAAGTCAACCTAACCTTTGGCACTTGTAGTTTTTTCATTTACATGTGACAAAACACTAAAGATATCTTATGTTCTTGTGTCTAAAATAACAAGGTTTTTGGGTACGTGCACATAGGTGGTTGGTTGGCTCACCTATGCGTAAATCATGTTCTACCTAAGGAGACAACACATTTGGACAGTCCATTAGGATTGTTCCATCATTTTACTACATCACTGCACCAAATATCACCAATGCTAGACAATTTGTGGTTCAAATATATAGTGTTGTTGGGAAAGACAAACAACGTTGGCAGATGGCTATGTAAGGCATGAAATTTGGAGAGGAGCAGTATGAATGTTAAATTTATAGTTTGCAAACACCATAATGCAACTGTAGTTGCATAACAATGATATAGGCCTCCTCTATGTGGTAAAAGAATAACTGAAGAATGAACGGATAAATGAATATCCGTTTATTTAGCTTCAAGTTCACGGATTCTCAGGGGCTGATGGTGACAGACGCCTGGCCTTGGACCTGCCGGAGAGCAGGACAGTCCAGAGTGGCGATCACCCTGCTTGTCCCGGCCCTCTGTGGAGTGAAATACTCAGTCCAGGTCAGAGA